TTGTTTGTTGTTGCGTGTGACATTTCTTCTTTCTTTTCAAATCCTACATTAATTTAACCATTCCAGCCTTGATGAAATAAACTATAGGCTTATAGCTACAGTTCATGGAACTTAACCCTTTTAATAAAATAATCATTTTTATTAAATTTGTTATTTGTTATTATTGGAAAGATTCCTTCTGTTTTTTGGTGCTTATAGGTAATTATATTCTAGGTATATGATCTCAATGGTAAAAAATTCACAACTTGAAGAAATGTCGGGGGGGGGAATGGAACAAAGCTAATTATTTAATATGGCACAGATCTGAGTGGAAATAGCACAGGACTATCAATGATGATAATATGAATATATCAACTCATCCTGCATTTTCACATTATCAGCATGTTTTTGCATTTGCTTTTGTTAAAAAATTCTATGTTTGAATGCTACCTGATAATGTGGCAATATGCATCTAAATAATAATTTTGAACCTAATAATTATATTGCTTTAAATAAAAATATTCATTTTTTAAAATAAAATAATCATGTAAATTTATACAAGGAAACAGTGTTTACTGGTCTTATAATCTGCATGTTGATTTTCCTTTACCTACCAGGCATGCCTGTATAAAGTTCTAAATAACAGCCACAGAAAAAGCCATTAAGAGTAAGATTCTGCTATAAACTGATAATTCAGAAATGTCTCAAATATTCATTCTATTATTTAATATATGTTAAATCGATTAACAGAATGAAAAATATATGTATTTTTAACACTGATATATGAACAGTATCAATATATTGATCCAGATCCTGTTCTACACAGAAAGAACTGCTTAAGAGAAGAATACTGACAGTTTGTAATATTATATCAGCAAAGTATTAATTTTATCCTAGAGTACAGTGGCACTGCTATATATATGAGAAATAAGTAATTAGATTCTTAAAGTTACAAACATCTAATCATTTATGACTGTGCAAATAACACAAATCTTTCAATCATTACATTAACTTACATTACAAATATGAGATGATTCAGTCTGAGGCAGTTCAATGTTATTAAGCTGCGGTAAGTCTGGTTTGGCAAGCAATAGCTGCCTGGTTAAAATTATAGTCATAGCTTTTGGTTGGCCATAAGGGCATCATTTATTTTTTTCCTTGAATACACAACTTCCCTTTGCATATTTAATTTATAGTTCAGGTTCTTTGGTTCTGGAACACGATTCTCCATAATTAAGTCTGTGTGGGTAAATACATACTATTGATAAATCTGATCTTTAATTTAGCAGATCAAAATAAAGGTGCTGCAGTGTAAATTCTGTATATTTCCTCATTTAAGTCTGTAATTAAAATTCTACCCCACACAACATCTTCATCCTACTGAGGTTCTTAGATTATCTAATTCTTTCTCTGATACAGAACTGAGATTTATAACTCAAAGAAAACCACAAGCAACAGAGTTCATTTTGCTGTCAGGAAGGTAGGATTCTATTTGACATAAGTGAAGTTGCTATTAGTTCCTGTGATGGTTAAGATCAATAAACTGCTGTCTTATTGAGCCTGCTGCACTGCAAAAAATTGGACCACTTAGACATATTGCCATGCTCGACAGATTGCAGATATTATTAGATTAAATCTTTGTTACAGGCATGTAAATGTAAAGATCATCCAAACAAAGGCTGAATCTTCAAATATTAGATCCCTAGGAAAAAAATAAAATAAAAAGGAAGCCCCAAACCAATCAATACGCCTTAATTTATACATAACCTTTTTTTAAAGCCTAGTTGTTGTAATTGTAGTTGAAAGGCTACTTGAGTTCCGTTCAGAATTAGTTCCTTCCTTTTCCTGACATTACAAAGTTTTCCCTAATGAGCTTGGATCATTATTCAGTCTTAATTACCATTAAATGTATTGTTTTAAATGTATCATTTACTGCTATTTTTGAGTCCATATTTCATGTAGCAAGCCACTCAAAATACATCTAAAGAACTACATTTCTTAAATGCATTTATATTAAGCGCAAACATTATTTTGATTTCTTCTAAGACTGTTTTTGATAGTGGCAATTGCCAGGAAAAAAATATTAAGTAAACAGTTTTCAATATAGAACAATAATTATATTCTCATATTTGTTTAACTGTTACTCATTTTCTCACTAGAAATCCAAAATGAGTACGTACGTACATACATACATACATACATACATACATACATACATACATACATATGTAGGTCTTTGGTTGTTCGGGTTTTCTCCCGCATAAAATTGGAAGTGTCTTGGTGACGTTTCGACGAAGTCCCATTCGTCATCTTCAGGCTGGTGCTTTCAGCTTCGTGCTTCGAGCAGCAATGTGTGGTCTTAGCTGTTTCTTCCTTTTAACTACCAGTGGGGGTATGAACTGATTGGGTGGGAGTTTGGCTGTGTTCTGATTGGGTGGAGGTGTGTTCTGATTGGTTAGGGGCGTGGCTGTGCTCTGATTGGCTAGGGGGTTGGCTGTGCTCTGATTGGCTGGGGGGTTGGCTGTGCTCTGATTGGCTGGGGGAGTGTTCTGTTTGGTTGTGCTCAGGTTAGTCTGAGTTGCAGGGGGGTTTAAGATTTTGGGCTGCCTTGCTATTTTTTGGCTTCACGTTCGTGGTCGTGCCTCATCTTCATGGAGGGTGTCAGTTTGCTTCATGTATGGATTGGAGGGGTTTAAAGTGGCTAATGATGCAGCTGTGGTCTGGCTTCTGGTTTGTGGTCGTGCCTCGTCATCGGTGTGGCTTTGGGTTTGTTTTTTGCGTGGATGTGTGGTGGTGACCTCCTGTGTGGTTTTTGTGAGTGTGGGTCTGGTATCATTTTTTTGTGTTAGGGAGTCGTTTGTCAATAAGGGCGGGTTTCCAAATGGCTGGTAGGCGGGAGGTATCATCTTGCTTGTTCATGCTGTGTGGGCGTTTTTCTATCTCGATGGCTTCTCTGATTATTCTGTTATTAAAATGTTCACTTTTGGCAATGGTTCTGGTATTTTTAAAGTCAATTTCATGTCCTGTGGCTTTAAGGTGTTGGACCAGGGAAGATGTTGGTTCCTCTTTTTTGACTGAATTCTTATGTTCTTCAATGCGTGCACTTATTCTTCTATTGGTTTGTCCGATGTATGTGTTGGGACAAGCAGTGCATGGGATTTCATATACTCCTTGATTTTCTAAGTCAATTTTATCTTTGGGGTTTCTAAGGATGGTGGATATTTTTCTGTTTGTGCAGAATGTTGTTTTGATGTTGTGTTTATGGAGGATCTTACTGATTCTGTCTGTGGTGCCTTTTATGTATGGGAGGAGAGCTTTGCCGTTTTCTTGTTCTTTGTCTTGGATTTTAGTGGGGGTTTCTTTTGGGATTGGGTCTGTAATCTTATTTCTTTGGAATCCATTGGATGTTAGTACATTGGTGAGAGTGTGTAGTTCGGTTTTTAGGTGTTGTTCGTCAGCTAAGCGTTTTGTTCTGGAGATGAGTGTCTTGGCTACAGAGTTGATCTGTGCTGGGTGGTGGTGTGAGAGAGCGTGCAGATAGCGGTTTGTGTGTGTTTTCTTCTGGTAGATGGTGTATCCTAGGGAGCCATTGGATTTCTTGTAGACTAAGATATCCAGGAAGGGAAGTTGGTTGTTGCTTCTGTTTCCATGGTGAACTGTATTTTGGGGTGTAGGCTGTTGAGGTGTGTGAGGAAGTTGTCCAGTTTTTCTTTCCCATGTGGCCAGATTATGAAGGTGTCGTCTACGTATCTGAGCCAGAGTTTGGGTTTGTGATCCGATTTTTCTAGAGCTTGGGTTTCAAAGTGTTCCATGTAGAGGTTGGCAATGACAGGTGAGAGGGGTGATCCCATGGGTGCTCCTTCTGTTTGTTTGTATTTTTGTCCATTATAGATGAAGTATGTGTTGGATAGGCAGTGGTTGGTCAGATCTAAGATGTGTTTGGGGGGGTTATATTTGTTTTGGATAGCTGTCAAGGCTTCTTTGATAGGCACTTGGGTGAAGAGGGATATGACATCGAAGCTCACTAGTAGGTCGCTGGGCTGTAAGTTTTGTTTCTTTATGATCTCTATAAACTGGAATGAGTTTTTTACGTGTGAGGTGATGGATTCTGCATAGGGCTGTAGTTGTTTGGCGAGAAATTTGGCTAGGTTTTGTAGAGGTGAGCCTATGGAGCTGACTATAGGTCTGAGTGGGGTTCCTTCTTTGTGTATCTTGGGGAGACCATAGAGTTTGGGGCATCTGGATGATTTCTCTCTGGGAATGATTCTTTGCTGGATCTCTTCGCTAATGGGGGAGGCTTTTATTTTGGATCTGGTGGTTTTTTCCAGGTAGGTGGTGGGATCTGTATTTAGGGGTTTGTATGTGGAGTCTTGGAGTAGGTTGGTTAATTTGGTTTGGTAGTCAGATGTGTTCATAACCACCGTGGCGTTGCCCTTGTCTGCTGGTAGGATTATTATGCTGGTGTCTTCTTTCAGGTTACGTAGTGCTGTCTGTTCCTCTTTGGGTAAGTTGTTTTTGGGTGGCTTGCTGGTCCAGAGGATGTTGGTGATTTCGAGTCTGATTCTGTTAGCGTCGTCGGGATCATCCAGATGCCCCAAACTCTATGGTCTCCCCAAGATACACAAAGAAGGAACCCCACTCAGACCTATAGTCAGCTCCATAGGCTGCTCACTGACCTTTCAGTACTCGCTTTTTAGGTGACTGTCAAAATTCTTTACATCCAAGACATCCAACTTTAAATGATTTATGTATCCCATACCCAAGGATAGCATGGTGTCCCCAAACATTTGACAGCCATGATCATAGACCACAGCACTAACATATAGTGTCTAAGTATCAAATTACAGAAGTATAAATTCCAGTTGTTTTTCCACAGTTTATACCATATTGATAACACACAAAGGCACCCCTCAATATATGAACTATTGCTTTTAAAAAAAAAACAATAAAGTTACCTTCATGTTAAAGTAATATGGGCACATCCCTCTATTAAATATCTTTAAGTAGAATTGGGCTCTTACCATCATGATTGGGATTTCCCAAAGTCCATGGCTCATCTGAGTCAAAATGAGTATCACCTCCAATTCCTGTCCCAGGAAAATAAGCATGAGCCAAAAATCCTCCTTCCCCATCGAATGGAGAACTGTCTCCATGAAAACCTGATGCAAAAATTATAGTAATATCCACATCTTTCTTGCCATTCTCCAGTTCTACATAAGGAACTTCCTCAAATGTCAGTGGGGTTACATTCTGCCACACATCGAAGGCACGTCGAATAGCTTTACGGGTTTCAGCATCTCCTACTTTTGGAGTGACATTCTTTATGCTGCACAAAAAAAGCAAACAAATAAACATAAATGTCACCTTATCAATAGTACCACATATCTTATTCTTAAATGCACATTATATCAACCATTTTGATGTAGTGGGGACCGAGCAACAATTCTTGAAACTATATCAAGTATAGTGATTTACATATTGAAAGCAGCTGATACGTAACACTATAACAACTCCATAAAGTAATTGTTTATTAATGTTCATTACTACAGATTGGTGACACCGAGGTCAGTTTATATTTATTACTACACTCACAATTTATTTTGTATTAAATATCATTTTGATTGATACATTACATTATTAGTTAACTGCAAGTCATTGTATAAATCAGTTCTTAATTTGATATGCCTTAGATGTGCAAACTGTAAAATCCAGCATGTACAGTAAGTCAGTATTATCTGTAATGGATCTGGTTGAGTGAAGCTTAAAGCCAAAAGTCAGAAGGGAGAAAAAGATGTTGAGGAAAGAGGTCTGTGTAGCAAGAAAAAAACCAGACAGAAAAAGAAAACACCCAGAACATAGTTTCATTTTTTCAATGTTGTAAAGCTACACATTATAAATGGTGCCTGAAGGCTTGGCACTGCCATATCCCAAACCATTGCCACTTGTAGACAATGGCACTAGAAACCAGTACCCAAAGATATAGATAGAGAAGACATTTAAATCAAGTTAATTTCTGTGCTCAAACTAAATAGTTGGCTAATATACTTCGTAAAGATATGACAAATAAATATGTAACTAATTCTATATTTTAAAAGAAAATGTCCCAATGCAATGCCCTATAACATTTAATTTTCCTCTGAATGAGATCTCTTTTGTCAGATTGAAAAATGTTCATGAAAAAAAACTTCTGATGATTCACTTATGAAACATTACAAAAATATATTTGATTAATGGTATCATATATTTCCTAAAGCTAGACCTCTTATATTTGTATTTCGTGTTTTAATTTTGCCATATTTCAGGTATCCATTCACAACTTCTCAAATGTCTTGCTACTGAAGCACTTAAACCCACTGATGTTCTCCATTGAAAGGTTAGAGATTATATCAGTGACTATTAAAATATGTTGCTATGTAATAACTAATTGGGAGCTGATTACATCTGCCTATAATAATTTATTGTTCTAAAATCAAGAACCAAAGTACTTACTGAGTAGCTGAAAGGTACTTATATAAAAATACCAATTTAGGAAGATAGAGTATTAATAAAGATAAACTGGCAGAAAGAAAGGATTCCAAAAACATATACTTGGTGATCCTTCTTCTATATATTTTTTAATTTTAAAACTAAAAATTATATCCTTGAAAAGTTATTTTATAGTCAGAAGAGGAAAAAGGGAGGTGACATTTTGATACATGAACTCTAACAATAATAATGCAAGACAACAATTTTAAGCATATATATACAATTTTGTATGATGGATGAGCCTGCCTTGTTGATGACAGGTGCAAGAAAAGCTGAATTGGTGAAATGCTCAGTTTCAATAAACAGGTAAACCATTAAGTAGCCCCTTTCTGTTAGTGATGCCCTTTTGTCTGAAATAGAACTGTTCATGAACATCCTCAGTCATCTGTTGGAAAAAATAGCAGCTTGTGATAACAAGAACCATTTTCAATTTCCTAACAGCTTTAAGCACTTTAACCTTTTATAGCCATTTCTAGGATACAATAAGATTTCCCTCATGGCAGATACATTTTGTTATTACATTTTGTTACAGTTTGTACAAACAACAAGTAGGATTCCAGAAAGCTATTCATTATTGATATGAGTTATTGACTATATATAGATGATCTCTCCCACACACTAACATAAAGCACACAAATACACAATTGTCTGCATTACCAACCATTTTTAAACAATCATTGGCTGGCACCAATCCACGGCACTCCAGCAACTGGGCTGTGCAAACAAGTGAAGCCCCATCTGCAGCATGCAGGAAGCACACAAAACCATGCCCTCTTCAGTTCATCAAAAAATCTTTCTCTACGGAACCAGTCCCTGGTGCCCAAAAGGTTGGGGGCCACTGACATACACCATAAAAATGGTATGTAGCATGCATCCATATCTTCTCTTTCCCAGCACCACACTATCTCAGTTACTATTATTCTTAATCTATGAGAATATACATAATGAAGAAATTCACATATCCAAAAGCTATGGCCAAAGCTTAACAGCCTATATACACTGGGATCTTGGATATTCATACTGTAACATAAACCAACCCGAATCATTTTATAATCTTTTTCTAATTGAATTAATTACATGCATTGCCTTCTACATTCCATCTTAAAAACTGGTTAGTAAAGGAATTATGCTTTACAGTTTCCCTTCTCAACTTTTGTTTTAGTTATTTATTCTAGATTAGTGATCTAGGAGATTTAGATTTTTCCTGATTTTGGTCCTAACAAAGATATTATTTATTTAGTAGTTAATAATTATATTATAGTTGGAATTCTCTCTCTCTGTTTGTGTGTGTATGTGTGTGTTATGCTGTGTTAGAAAATCAAAACCATCAAACAGAAACTCATTTGGCAGCTGCTGTTTTTAATTTAATTCTTATAATTTCCATCCATTTTAGTCATCCAATACAAATGTAGGCTAGCAGTTTGGATGTAAGTTGACAATAAGAAATCAGGCACCATCACACCACATCGGGGGGGGGGGGTGTTCTCTGATTTCATTCATGAACAAATGAATGCCCTTTGACATTTATTCAACTTACACTTCAAGTTGCAATCCCCCATATGTCATATTTGTTACTAGAGGAACCATAAATATTGACTTCTAGCACCTGTTAGGGCTTCAGTCAACTGAGGCTTTCATATAATGCACACTATGTTATATTATTCATATAATGTACAGTATGATATGGAAGGGAAGATTAGATTAGAATATTTTGTAGTATACATACTATTTACAGCATTCTGTTTATAGCAGCAATTAATTTTTATTCATTTACCCAGCATATCATCAGCTTAACTAAAGCCCAATTTTACCCCCTGATCAAGCTATTCTGTACTACTTATAGTATCATGTAAAACCTAAAGACTACCTTGCAAACTGACATACTGTACAACTAATCAAATTAATTTATTATCTAGCAAAACAGTATAGATCTGTGATAACACAAAGTTCTAAAACAAATGAAGAGGTCTCTAATAACTTATCTCAAAAGAGGCAACTGACATGAAAATAGATTTCACAGATGGCAAGTAATAATAATTAGTTTATTGATTAGCCCTTAGGCCATATCAAAATACAGAGTTCCAAACACATAATATTAATAAAATCTTATAAAAAAACAATTTAAAATGAAATTGGGTAAATATAATAATTTAATATATAGACAAGTAACAGATGGCAAGTGATACTGGGAACAAATATAATACAGGGAATATAAATACCAAAATCATAATGGAAATGTTTCTGAAGGAGAAGCCAGTACAAGTAAGAAACTAATATGATAGAAAATAACATGTTACTTAAAATTACCCCGTAGCTAAAATATTAGCAAAACACAACATAAATTTGAGTGCACTTTTTTTTTACTGAATGTCTATCTTACTGGATTGGTGTAATGTTTACTGAGGATAATTGGTCAGAAACAGGCTAATTATTTCAGACATATTTATATATTAAGTACTATTATATAAATATCAACAAATTACTGTATTATTGGCAAAAAATGCGTAAGCAAAAAGATTATATATTATTCATAACTAGCTAACAAATCAGTGATGACATAGGCATGAAATAAATTTAATGAATAAATAAATAATATTTAAAGCAAATTTAAAATTAAATTGAAGATTTTTTCAGGAACTCATTTATTTATTAGCAAGCAACATTTATAATACCTTGCTTAAAATGTGGCTATGAAATTAGACCACAGAAGAGTCAAAGAAAAGCAAAATATTTTCTAAGTTGCCATTAATTAATTTATTATTCCTTGGATGATACTAAGGCCAATAATATGATTGACTACTAAAAGATTAGAACAATAAATAGGAAAGGTTAGGGAAGATATCTGAAGGATATCAAGAGATTAACATGTTCATTATGTTCCTAAAAGACTGAAATTTCTAGGTGGAATAACAACTTTATAAAGATAAGGTAACAACTTTCTTTCAATAACTGTGGTAATTCCATAAATAGATAAATTATCCTGATCGAATATAATGGTCATTGAAGCCTTTGCGCTAAAAGTACTTTCACACCCCAACTAAAAAGTGCATGGACGTGAGGATGTGCATATAAGCACCCCTGTTTTTGGACGTATAGATCTTTATATAGATCTTCTTTTCAGTTCAACACTAAAAATTACAAGTGAGTAAGGAAAGTATATTTAAATGAGTGCATCTACAAGTATCTACAATGGTAAATAATACCCTATTAAGTTATCAGTATTGGGATGTTTATAAGGGTGTTCAGTTAATCATACTAAGATCTCAGTATTCAAAACACAAAGGTCTGCAGAAAGGCAGGAAATGCAGCATCATTTCCTCTTTAATTACCATTTGAATCATCAACTGCGAACTCCACTATTAACCTATACATCTGTAGACATTAAAGGAGAACTACCAACAGGAAGATCTTTTTTTAGCCACTGCATCCATGTAGAGAATTTCACTCTATTTTTTCCTCTCTTTTTCCCAATTCTAAGTAGAAATAACATTTTCAATGCTATTTAATTTCCCTTTTTGTCAGCCTTTTTTCATTGTAACTTATTCTTGTATTGATGCATAACTTACTGCTAATACAGCGGCTCCCAACTTTTGGGCACCAAGGACTGGTTCTGTGGAGAGAGGTTTTTCTAAAGACTGGAGGAGGCATAGTTTCACATGCTGCCTGCTGACGGGGCTTTGCTTGTTTGTATGGCCCAGTTTCTGGCATACCGCGGACCGGTGCTAGTCCACGGACTGGAGGTTGTACTAATACAGGGGTCTTCAAACTTGGCCCTTTTATGACTTTTGGACTTCAACTCCCAGAATTCCTTAGCCAGGCACACTGGCTGAGGAATTCTGAGAGTTGAAGTCCACAGTCATAAAAGGGCCAAGTTTGAAGACCCTTGTACTAATAGATTCATTCTACTTTCCTGCTTGTTCATGCTTTATCATCTATACCAGTAAGTGTTCTCCCCTCCCCAACAGAAGTCTCCAACATTTCTTGGTTGGCAGACCAAAGAGAAAGGGAGGTGAAGAATTTTATGTGCATATATGTGCACACAAATGAGGCAGCAAGCATGCACGATGCAAAGGGGGGTTGCTAGTGCCCACACAACACTCCCTAGCATTGCCATTTTTGTAGCAGTGGTGCTAGCATGATTGGTGGTGAGTGCATGCACACATGTGCATGAGCTGGCCAGCCTGTCCTGTAGCCCAGTGGACCGTGGCCCATAGGCTGGGGACCCTGCCCTACAGATTACTCTGTTTTGCTTCTTTTTTCAGGTTTTACTTGGAACTCAACTCTCATTTTTTTGAGTGGGAAAATATTGAACCTTGGGTCTTATCTAATTGAAGAGAAAAGTCTTGGGACACATGGATCCTTTATCCTTCTTCTTAACATCTAGTCAAAAGAGAGCAAAGAAAAAATGATTGGTCATCTTCAGCCCACAGAATAGTTTAAAAGACTTAAAAACAGATTTGAACATGTACCAGTATATGAGTCCAATAGGGAAAGTTATTGTTTGTGCAACAATCCATGCATGGATAGGATATTCACATAAAAATCTTGTGCTGAAGCTTTTACTTTCTTTTGGAACAACTTATTTACATTAACATCATGATCTATTATGGATTAAATATCACAATGTGAATTATTAGGCCCAGTTAATGTGCTGTTTATCAACTAATTTGCTATTTATCACAGGTTAAATAAAATGCATTTTGTTGCCTGTCCCGGAATAATGAAATTGGTTCACAGTAGTTTGATTTCTATTAAGCTATGTTGCCATTTCATAAATATATCCTTCATAAGGTTTTCACTGTTGCACAAGTATCCTTTAAATATACTAGTAAATATACTAGTCGAGATCAGATTTCTATAATGTGAAATGAAAACTTATCCCTTTTCTACCTGTTCTGTGTTGTTAGAACTGCCCTTTTAACATTAATCCTGGAAGGGGCATGAGTAATTAGTAGCTATAAGCAGTCCAATAAAAGGCACAATCTCATCACTACTTTGTGATTATTGCTTTGTTCCAGAGAAACAAGTGACAACAAGGCATCTATCAGCATCAAAATGCCCAGACCTCACCAAAGAATTCAATAAAATAGAATAATAAAAACCAAATATAACCTCACAGCATTGAAAATGTCCCAAAATTTTCCAAGATCTCATGGAAAAATGATAAAACCTTGTGAATCATGTGTAAGATCTCAGGAATCCAAGAATATACAATAACTGTGAGAGTTGGAAAAGATTTCCAACTTTCATTCAAATTACACTTCTTCCTTATGACCCAAAGGTGCTTCTTCACTAAAGAAGATTCTTGGATGAGAAGTGAAACATCTTCAAGGAAAAACGAAGTTCAGTTGCCTTTTGAAAAAGCATCTTTGGCCAACCATGGCCTGGATGACCGAGAATCTCCATAGACATTATTTGTGAGCAGGAATCAAATATGGTCACTGCATGTCTAGCTCAGGACTTTATTTGGACAGACTGATAACTTTGTCCTTGGGTTTTTGAACTAAAAATACTTTTGTTCACAATTCTTCCAACCTAATCTTAATGGGAAAAACAAGACAAAGAAAATGACTTCTTCACATTTTCTTTGATAATGTACAATTATTTTCTCTCATTCTATCCTAGTTAGCAGCTGCTAACTGCAAACTATTTTTTTTCTCCTATACTTTATAAATGTAATCAACATGCTGTTGTTACTAGTAAATTGAAATGAGTAGTTTCTTCTTATTATTCTTTTTTGGTGAAATCCAGTTTAAAATCTAATTTATCTAGATGAGATAGGCAGTACAGAAATCAAATAAATAAATAAATAAATAACCTGACACATCAGAAATAGGGAATTAATTTGACTTTGAAAACTTCAAAGTTATATTTGATATTTAAACCCATTATCTACCTTTGTAGTACAAGAACCTTTTCTCCTGAAAACAGTCATATACATATTTTCAGGCAGCAACCAGTTTCTTGTCTTTCACAAATACTAAGCAGCAGAAACTGTATTTTTTGAAGTGTTAAGCAATTCCATATTAAAGGATCACAGTTTTGCTTTCATACCTGTAAGTGATATATTTGTGTTGCCACTTCTGCCCTGTTAATGCATATCGCTTTCGACGAATGTTAAATCTAGAGTTGCCTCTCATCTGATCAGGAACTCCACAACGAGGCTTCTTCATCCAGCTTTAAATAAACAGAATAAAAACAAATCAGTACCATATGATGACAATAAGTGCATAGTATCATTGGCACCTGTTGATGCATTTGATATATAACGAACTACCGTACCTCTTCTTCAAAAGGTCAAAACATTGTTTTTACATTTCCACATACAAACAGTGTCTCAATATTGACAACTTTAAAATGTGTGGACTTCAACTCCCAGATTTGGAGTTAAATTTGGCAAGGCTGAGAAACAATGAAATATAATATACAGATGGTCCACAACTTACAACCATAATTGAGCCCAACATTTCTGTTATTAGGCAAGGCAGCTGTTAAGTGAGTTTTGCCCCATTTTAGGACTTTTTTGCCGCAGTTGTTAAGTGAATCACTGCAGCAATTAAGTGAATCGTGTGGTCGTTAAGCAAATCTTCATTGACTTTGAAAGTTGGAAGTCAACTGGAAAGGTCACATGACCCAGAACAGTGGAACTGTCATAAATACATACCAATTGCCAAGGGGCTGAATTTTGATTATGTGATCATAGGGAGGCTGCTATGGTTGTAAATGTAAAAAAATGATCATGGGTCACTATTTTCAGTGCCGCTATAACTCTGAACAGTCATTAAACAAATGGTTGTATTTGAGGACTGTCTCTAGTTCCTGGTTAACATTATTAAATAGCACAGGAGTCCTCAACCTTGGCAACTTTAAGACTTGTGGACTTCAACTCCCAGAATTCCTCAGCCAGCAAAGCCACAAGTCTTAAACTTGCCAAGATTGAGGACCCCTGAAATAGCAAACTGTCATAGAATTTCCAAATAAGGAAATAATATGGGGCAAACACTTTGATAGGTACAGCTAATTTGTTTGCATGTTTATTTAATCATTTGCTGGGACTTATACACTGTTCTAACCTTACAGGACCTGTATTGCCACTTGTTCATATTGATTTTGTACAGTTAACTGAAAAACCTACAGCAAAGTGAGTTTGTTGAACTATTTTATGAAAGAAAGAAAGAAAGAAAGAAAGAAAGAAAGAAAGAAAGAAAGAAAGAAAGAAAGAACTGGGTTCCTGAATGAAGTTTCATTAGGTTTTCCTTCAGTCTTAAAACTAATAGTTTGTGGGAGCAGGAGCAGAATACAGCAACAGAAGTAATGGCTTAAATTATAAAGTGAAGCCTCTGGTAATTGAAATTGCTCATTGAAACAAAGGAAACTGCCTTTTTCTTATTCATTCCCTTCATCAATCTAACTCAATACTGTTTTCTACCAGCTTCCAGACAGGAATGTACATCTGCAAGCTATGCCTAGAGATAGCAAGACAATGAACCTGGCTTTTTCTATGCAAACCATGTGTTCTGTCTCTGAGCTATCACCCTTCAGTACCTCACATTATGAGATTATAATGCAGATTGTAAGGATTAATTAAACCTATATTATTATTCTGAGAGATGCCTCTGCCTGGCATTCCAGTCTGCTGTTGTACCTTGGTACTTCTCTACAATTGCTTCTGGGCAGCTTGCCATGTTTCTTTCACTCTCTCTCTCCCTCACTCCCTTTCTTACAAATGCTAGCATGGAGTGCACACAATATTAATAGGGTTCTGGATACCTGCTCCCTGTATAATATCCATGAGCCCTTGATATGATATGCACTGGCAACATCTGGAAGACAGAGGCTGAGAAATGCAATATATGTTTGATTCAGCACAAAAATTAAATCTGGAAGAAAAGCACATAATTTGAAACTCTCAGACTCTGGGAGCATACTCAGATATGGACAACTTTATCAGTATCACTTGTGTACTATTATTCTTCCTCATCAGTTTGAAATTTCAGTTTAACCTAATAAATAATGTTCATTATTGCAAGGCAATCATTACTATTAAGATATCCTGCTTTTCAATCCATCATTTCATTATATTATAAACATCATTATCACTATATTCCTATAATTGTAACTGATCACAATTATTTCCCAGTGTTGCATTAAAATCTGTGTCACTGAAATTAAAATGGCTGGGCTACTCATATTTGCTATTTTTATGAGGCTATTCTCAACTTCCAGTGCTGGAACAGTGTAATACAAAATAAAAATAAAGAGATTTTATGTCTAATTTCATGTGTTGGGTAAAATTCATGCAGAATGAAGTCACAGAACTGATCTCTTATGATTGAAATATGGCAAAGTCTGTGCTGTGCCATTTCACAGTCTACACAGACCATAAGTCTCTGCTGGGTTTGTTTACAACAAACAAACAAACCCCTCATATAATATCCCCTAGAATGCTGAGGTGGTCCATTTTCCTGTCAGTTTATGACTATACTTTAGTTCACAAACTGGGAAAAGAAATGGACCACGCAGATGGCCTAAGCAGATTACCTCTAAAATTGGTAGAAGCAGACCCTGCTCCTGCCATCAATATTCTCTCCATCCAGGAGTTGCCGGAATCTCCCCTCAATGTTAGGGATGTGGCTGCAGAAACTGCCACCGATCACACACTTACACGTGTGCTCTCATGGGTATTGTCAGGTTGGCCTGACAAGAGTCCAGGTACTGAGTTCCAAAGTTTCTGGCTCAAGAAGCATGAGTTGTCCACTTTTAAGGGTTGCCTGTTATGGGGTAGCAGGGTAGTTATCCCTGCCTAGAATCTTGGTCTCTCTGCATGAGGGACATCCTGGAATTGTCAGGATGAAAGTGCTTGTGCGCAGCCATCTTTGGTGGCCTGGGCTCGATAAAGCTATCAAGGTTCAGGTGCACGGGTGTCACTTGTGCCAACAGTCATGGCCAGAAATGCCTCAGGCTCCAGTTCATAGGTGGGAAGAAACCCAAACACCATGGTCCAGTGTGCATATTGATTACGCTGGGCCCTTTCAGGGGCAATTCTTCTTGGTTGTTGTTGATAGCCATTCCAAGTGGCTAGAGGTTGTTCCTGTTTCCTCCACTACTACTGCCAGGACCATCCAGGTGTTGAGAGCCTTTTTTGCTGCACACGGCCTTCCAGATGTTCTGGTTTCAGATAACGGTTCTCAATTCACTTCTTCTGAGTTCCAGGCTTTTCTTCAGGCTAACCTAATCCGCCATGCGACTTCAGCTCCTTTCCACCCCTCCACCAATGGGATGGCTGAATGGATGGTCCACATCACCAAGGATGCCCTCAAGAAACTGACTTACGGTAACTGGCATCACAGGTTAGCAGACTTTCTTCTTGCACATTGCACCACACCTTGCACATCCACCGCGAAGAGCCCTGCTGAACTGTATTGGGACCGCCGACTTATAACTAAGCTAGACAGATTGCACCCTGATAGGGTTGCATCTCAGGTCTCGCAGCCAAGAGCACCAAAGAGTTTGCAAGTGGGTGCTCCAGTCTGGACTCAGAACTACGGGCCCAGTCATCTTTGGATTCCAGCTGTGGTCTGTAAGGTGTCGGGACCTTTGTCCTACAAGGTGTCCTTGGACAACGGCTGTGTTCTCCGGTGGCACATAGATCAGCTGCATACGAGACTGGACTCTTCCTCTTCCGCTCCTGGCTCTGCTCTGTGCATTTTGGGGATCACTATCAGCAGTCACTGGCCGCTGAGGAGGCCGGGGAAGGCCCATCTCTAGTTTCCAAAAGTGCTCCCAACAGGAATTCATTGGGAAGGAAGACATTCCCCACACCAACACTTACTCCAGCCAGGGAGTCACACAGGGTGTATCCACATTACTCACATACATCAAACAGCTCTCCAGATAGGGAGACTGACCGGGGGTATCCAAACAAATCAAGACATACAAGAGAACTGGCATCACCACAAGGGAACTGGCCCAATTCTGCAACTGCTCCCAGAAGGAAGCCATCTGGAAGGGGGGTAAGCAGAGAGGCAACTCCTGATTCTGGCACTTCTGGCACAGCTTGGGGGGCCACAAGGCACTGGGGCACGGCAACTTGCCTGGACCATTCATCTGCCGGATTTGGGGTTGAGGGGTTGTGTTTCCAAGGAAGGTCCATTGTGGACCTGGAAAATACCACCCCTCCAAGGGACACTGGTTTGGACTTAGAGGGTCCAGCCAGCCAACAGATGAGCAGGTCAACTGGGTATGGGAGTGAGCAAAGTCCTGGCCTGCTGAGCCTGGTGGGCGAGCAAGCAGGCCAGGCAACAGAACCAGGGTCACCTGGGAACATGGGGCAGCAACAAGTGGACACACCTAGCCTGGTAGGTGAGTAGGGAGCCAAGGGAGTTCCCCAGATCTGAAGTGGTCGCAATGGGTTAAATATCCACCCAAACATCTTAGGGAGTTTATGAGGTTGCTGTCAAGTTCCAGGGAAACACAGCAGAAATGCCATTAATGAATGGCGGAGTTGTTGTGATACTTTTTGGAATTCAGATACATTTATTCCCAAAACGATAGAATGGAAAAAAGGTGTGGTTTAAGGGTAACATCCATGTCCACACTCCATGCATTTGATTAATGGAATTATATACCACGTCCCTTATGGAGGTGCGGAAAAGAAGTTTCATCTAAGGGGAAGGGGTGTTGGGTCCTGAACCTGCAAAAGCAGGCTTGGGACATTGCTATGGTTCCAGGGTTTCTGCATGCTGCCCAGGACCAGACTGAGAGGCGCCACCCTTGCGCGCATGCTCGAGGCGCAAAAGCGCGCCATTAATGTTGCTGTTTTGCCCGGGGATCGGGTCACTAAAAAGGAGGCCTGTGAGCCTCGCTGTTGTTGTTGGAGTGAGCAGAAGGAGAAATAAAAAGCTATTGATTCTACCATGTGTGATCTTCATTCGCCATCGAACGAAGGACTTAACAGCAACCATTAAGGAAGAACATGGCCTTGTAGCGGTTAGTCAATTGTATTGCTTTTGATGATTTGAAACACATTGTTTGATTGTAATAAGCAGATCTGACAAAATCTGACAGAAATTTTTCTGGCACCTAAAACAAGAGTAAATTAATCCTCTGTTTCAACTGATTCTTTAAACCTGAAAATTTAACTATCTAAATTTAAGCTAATACAATTTGAATATTTTGAATGAATCAATATACACAAGATAACCTGGTTTTTAGGCAAATATTATAGATGAAATATATACCCCCGCCAGAATTTTGACATAACTGAAAAAAATTACAGCTTAGGTGATAACAAAATTTGTTTACTCTTTTTCTGCAGTTTCTGTAAAATTTTATATCTTTCCATTTACTGTAGAAATATGGTTCTATTTTACTGCTATTTGGGTATGCAAATTATCTTTAAATTGCAATTTATCTTTAGCCATTTAAGTCCATAATTTTCCAGGCACTGATACTTCAAAGTGAACAAATGTTAGAACAGCATGCAATTTTCATGCATTTAAACTACAGATATATAACACCAAGAAGAAGCAGTTAAACACACTGCAGTTACCAAATAGAAAAGACAGATGCTCTCACCTTAAGGTGATATCACTACATCAAAGGAAAGAGGCAAGGGATTTAAAAGAAGAGAGAACTATTATCCTATGTAAGAAGTATTCTAAACACCAATATTAAACAATACTGTATTTTAACAATGTCATTACAACATACATTCCAAAGTGTTGGGATTTTTTTTGTGAGCATGAGTTATTTATATACTTACTTATTAACTTACATACTTAAAAATTCTAATCCTCCCATCTCACTAATACAACATCTCTGGGTGGCTTTCAAAAATTAGAGCTCGTGTAACCAGTGACTTAGTACATAGCTAAGAAAGAACTTATTTCAGTCACAATTAAAGATCATAGGAAGATTGAAACTATTCTCCAGGCGATATAATTATGAAAATCATTTATATAGCTATATAACAATGAACAAGAGTTCAGTCAGAAAAATCAAAGAGTGTTTTAACAAAACAAATTTATAGGCAGGAAGTCATTTTAATTCAAAAGCCGAGTGACATTTTTATTTTATTTATTTCAAAAAATTATATAACCATCTATCTTATACATAATTAATGGATCATAACATTCCATAAAAACTATCTATCTACATTATTGATCTATCATTCTTCACACTATAGCACTACAACATTCCAGTGACATTTGTTGGGGTCACTTCCAGCCTAACCCCTTGGATGAAGAGACAAGTCTTCACAGCTTTTCAGAAGGCTAAGTGGGGACCTCCAAATCTCTGGAGGGAAGCTGTTCCAAAGAGGCTGCTATGGAGGGGACATAGAAGCAAAATGGAATGGAATGGAAATTGCAACATATACAACTATCAGTATAAGCCGCACATATGAAAAGGCTGTTAGAAAATATACTTTAGCATTGATTAAAATGATATGATTTATTTCCCTGCAAATAAAGAAGAAAAAGGAAAGCACTGGAAAAAATACTCTCTCTTTTTCTTCCTGAGGCAAATATAAAATTCATTTTTCCCCAAATTTCCAATTTAAGCTATATCTGGAGACAAAAGGGGAGGTGAAGGCTGTGGAAAATGTTTCCTGTTAAGTCCTTCCAACAATGGTGAATGATGAAGACACATCTTGCATTAACAGCTCTTTATTTCGGTTCCAGGCAGAACACCAACAACGAGCAAAGGCACGCAGGCCTCTTTATATATGACCAGATCCCCGGACAAAATGGCAACAACAATTTGAGCGCTTTCGCGCCTTGTAAATGCGTGCAAGGCTGGCGCCACTCAGTGTGGTCCCGGGCAGCTTCTGGAAAGCCCAGGACCATTGCAAGGTCCCGAGCCTGCCTGTGCAGGCTCAGGACACAACACCTCCTGCCTCCATAACTGTGACCCATTAAAAATGGATAGAATCATTATTTTATAAGAGCCATGGTGGCACAGTAGTTAGAATGCATATTGGAGACTGAATCTGCCCAGTGCCATGAGTTCGATCCTGACTGGCTCCAGGTTGAATCAGCCTTCCATCCTTCTGAGGTCAATAAGTAGGACCGAGCAGCAATATGCTGACTCTGTAAACCGATTAGACAGTGCTGTAAAGCACTATGAAGTGGTATATAAGTCTAGATGCTATTGCTATTTTTTTGCCCTGGACCACAAGATGTACAAAGTGTTGATTAAATGCTGCACTGAATTAATATCATATCTGAGTAAGGCTAATCAATACAGAAAATCACTGTTTAATTATGCAAGCATTACTTGCTATCAAAGGTTAACTAATACTTCTGAATTCTGGGAGTTGTTCCACTTTTTATAAAGTTGCTGAGTTTCATTAGACAGTGTGTGACACAAGGTACCTTAGATGCTAGATGCTTCCAATTTCTCCTGATGACTGCTTGGACAAGTCCCTGCAGTTTTCTTGGCAAGACTTTTTTAGAAGTGGTTTACCATTGCCTTCTTCCTGGGGCTAAAAAAGAGTGACTGGCCCAAGGTGACCCAATTGGCTTTATGACTAGAACTCATAATCTTCCAGTTTCTAGCCTGAAACCTTAAACATCAAATTGGCTCTCAAATTTTATTATACACACCATATATTTTAGACGATTAGTTCTGAAGAAGATCAACTATTGTTCCATTGTAAATAAAGTTGATGAGCTTTTTCAAAGTCTTGCAGCATAAGGAATTCATGTCTTCTAAAGCAAAGCCCCTGAATACCTTCTTATTATCTTGACCTAATCAGCTGCGAGACACTTTTACATTCCATATTCAGTGAGAATATATCCATTCAAGAATGACAAGTTTTTCAAGGTTATGTGATAGATACTGTCTGCATAACAGTCATCTGTCTAATTAGAAATATTCAGAATGCTATATAAAAGGCAGTCACTACATCAATAGGAAAATCTAAACAGAGTGCAGCCTTCCTTATTTCTGGCAGTCACTTTGGATTCTGCTTTCTAAGGATTTGAACTCTGTGGTCCTAATGGAGCAGCAGGAATCAGGTTGAGGAATAGTGGCATACAGCTTGTCAGTACTTGGTATTCTCCACATTCTTTGGTCAATTTCAAAGGTCAAAGGCCCTCATTCCTAAAACCCTGGTGTTTTTATCCCTTGAGAATCATTGTTATCAAGAACCATTTAGATGCACAATGCATATAATATATATTGGCAGAGTGGATATCCAAGAACTATATTTTTTACATTTTTTCCTCTATTCTGTATGCTTTCACAGTCAGATCCTAAAATTATATTTTAATACCTGTCTCGATTCTACTATGCAAGTTGCTACAAACAAGAGTTATTGTGGACATCTTGGAACTGACTTCTCAGACTGAATAAGCAACAGTAACAGTGTTACACTACTGGAGTAATTGTTTTTATTTTTTTATTTATTAACATTGGAAGATTTATTGTATTTTTATTGATGTATGAACTGGAGAATCTCTTTTGTTTTTGATAGAATACAAATTCATTACAAAAATAAACAGTATTTCAGAAGAATGAAGCATAATAATTTTCTGATTGTAAAAAGCAAAATGGAGGCTTTCCATTGGATCAAGAATCCTAGAAAATATCAAAAGTGGTTTTGATTTTTTGCATACTGATGAAGCTTCCAGAATAAGAAACGAAATGTCTTCTTCTTCCTCAAAAAATCAGTCCAGTTGCCTTTTCAAAAAACAAAACCACTTTTGATACAACTATGACCTGGATGACTGAGAATCTTCATAGACAATCCTAGAAAATAAAATCGGCTCTTCAACGCTCAATTTCACTCTCTAGACACAAAAGGTAAAGGTATTTGTTTATTCTCTTTTTCTAACTGATGAACATCACTTTCTGTTATGTCAGCATAACAACAGATTAAAATTGAATACTGTATTTAAACTCTTTTTAAAACATTGTTTCTTGCACAGCTACTAATACTGTTCCATCCTACTTAGGAGGATTTTTTTTCAAAAATATTGTGATTTACATATTTCTTTTTTCTCCAAAATATCTGTACAAAAGCCATTAAATAAGGAAAACTATTATCCTGAAGTACTAGGAACAACTAAAACAACTAAAGCCATAACAATTTGGATTAGATTAGCAGCGGAAAGTGTCAAGGTTACATAAACAAGATTTTTTTTATGCATAGATTTTCCTGGTTTTTCCAATCCATTCTGCTTTCTAGTTTCTAATTTTATTGATAATTGTGTTAAAATACATAATGACATTACTGATTCTTTTTATATGAAATAAGAACCATATATGAAGTTTCATCTTAGAGGAACATCCTTCAAATTGATTATACATATTTGACTCTGCGGATCCATGCCAAGTTTCCACTTCTGTATATTCACATCACAAGTCTGATAGGCAATACAAATGCTTAGATCTTGAGCATATTAAGAATTTAAGCTCCTTAGAGGATATTCCCACATTATTTTCAAAAATGACATATTTCAACAAAAGCTTTTCAGATGATATAGTTCATGAAAAAATGTATTAACATTAAAGTGATATTTCTGATGATTACCAGCTTTAGCTGTATTAGAGGCAATATTTCTATTGCTAACTTGCCAGCTAGGGCATAGAACTTCAAGCCTTTTGGTTAAACCAAAGGTTTATAGAACTATATCAGTATTCTTCTTCAATGTCTTACAGTCCCTTAGGCTTCCATAATATAAGCATAATGTTGCCTGGCTCATTTGGCTCCATCAACATCTAGGTTGTTATATATAGTGCAGTCACTCCAGCTTCCAATATGTCCTCAACATATAGTATAGTCTAGTAACTAGAACATAAATGAGTAACTGAAACAGTATTTTGATAAGGTTATTGCTGGCATTGATGCCTTTAGCATTGCAAATTACTTCAACCATCACACTTTCAAGCAGAACTCAAAGATAAGGTAGACCAGCAAATCATAATCTTTTCACAGAATTCCTCATTTCAAGACAAGCTGAAAATATGTGTATAGAGCTACTAGCTTTATTGTCCACATCACTTCCAGAATTAAATTACATTGCGTTTATCTTTAGCTATTCACAAACTGTCTAGACATCTGCTTATAGTAATACATAGGTTCAAGTTCGAAGTTAGACATAGAAACTCACTGGGCACTAGGACCAGTCACCCTGCTCAGACTTACAGCTTTGCTTTTGTAAGGATAAAATAAAGAGAGATCCCCATATGACCTATTTTGAGTTCATAAGGGAAGGATATGAATATGTCTGAGGAACATATCCCTAAACATCCCACGTATGCAAGGTATTTGGATTTTATTTTTCCAAATAGGAGAGCTTTTCCATTCATTTTAGCAGATGGGTCAGCTTTATGTACATTTCACTTTATATATACCTAAACATCTTCTCCAGTGAAGTGAATATCAAAATCCCATTTATGCCATTTGGCATAAATTCTGGAATAGATATTTTATATTTCACACATGTAGTCCACTAGAACCTTTTTTGTTTCTATATCCCAATAGTAATCCTTGACTGACAATCTGAAATTTCAATTTATTTATTGACACTATCATGTCTTAAATACTCAAGTATATATTGGAACAGCGGGTCAATTTCTATATAGAAAGATGTATATTGATATCACATTATTTAAGAAATAAATGTTTTCACATTCTACTGCAATCACAAACTAATGTGGAGCAGAATATTATAATTTTGAAGATTAAATACTTTACTTTGTGGAGCTCTTTGTAAGGCTTCTTATTTTGTTTTGTATGAAGCATTCAAGCCAATTTTTTTTAAAAAAGAAAGTACCTTCAAATTGATGTAAACATACATTTCATGAGAATTTATGTTAGGAAAAATTAGAATAAAATGGGGAACTCCCTGGATTGGTAGCACCAGCTTCCTCTACTTTGGTGCCCTCTAGTAAGCACCATCTTCACTGATGGGAATCTAAAAACTGAAATGAATTTACTTTACTTTTTTAAAAAAATATTCTTCCATAGTTCCAAACTCAGATTTGAAAGAAAAAAAATCTAATCAATCCATTTGGCTATACATTATTGCACTATGAGATGCAAGTCTTTGACGGAAGGAAATTAGGTTGGGGTCTTTGAACTTCATACATGAGCATCACCCGCCCTTAGAATTAGAAGCTATTTGAGACAAGATTTTCTGCTAAGCTAATGAGAATCAGTGCTTGACAGAAGAAGGCAATTTTGAGTGCTAGAAGCTTTTAAATGCTAAATTAGTGGCATTTGGGAGGAAGCTATATTTTTTCATCAATAGAAAATTAGCTACCGGAAGCTGACAACAAAGGAAGTTATAAATGTGCTGAGAAAGATAGCATTTATCTTTGAGTCAAAGTACTATAATCAAACTGTGTGGAAAAATATAGAAATGTTATTCTGATGTAAATAAAGTGTGGTCTATATCTCAGTTAAGTGATTATCAAAATAGATCTTAAGCATTTAATTTAAGTTTAATATTCACCAGTTTAGCCTTACAAAAATGTTTTTAAAATTAATGCAGAAAGATATTTCCAGCAATCATTCATATAAAACAAAACAAATAGCAGATGAGATCATCTGATGATTTTATGCTATATTTTGTCCTTGTGATTTAATATCAAGGAAAAATGAATTAAAATTAGATTTAAAAAAGTATGTTTAATTATCTTTTTCTCCTATAATATGTAATATGCAAAATTAACCACAGTTTTGATACTTGACATCAGGGTTGAACAAAGCATGCAAAAGTGATTCTTTGCAAAGAATACTAGCAAAAGCAAAACAGTCTCTTGCAAGTATTAAAGCAACTGTATCCTCTGAATAGTTAATGTGGCTGCTTACAAGTGTGCACCCAGCTGCTTGAACATTTGTTTATTTACCAGATTTTGAAGCTGCTCTATTCCAAAAAGTTTATGGACAACTTATAATTTTAAAGAAATACATAATATGAAAAGAAAAACATGAATACTCAGACAGAGGTACATTAATAACAACACAAAAAACCAATTCACCCTGGGCCTGGGAACAGAGACACAGATAACAATACCACTGGGATCACCAACAAATGAATTGTGCGTGTCCTCACAACAGCCAGAGGCAACATTTAAGGCTGCCATGTACGCTTTCCAAAGAATCCAGATACTTTAACTTTTCAGGAAGGATGCATCATTCATTCAAACATGCTTTATAAACATTCTTTCCAAATACTTTGCATGATCCTATCATATACCTACTCTTATGTGTGTCTTAAAAATGATCCCACCAAATCCAGTGCATCTGGCTTCCAAATATTGCATTATTCCAGTGTTCATTGTTAAGACATTTATACTCCAATGAATTTAGTCTATTATTTATATTTATTTATGTGACATCATTGTTCAACACACTTTTAAATAACAGAAGAAACAGTAATATGCCTACACTCCTAGAAACATATAATCTAAATTCTGACAATTGGGAAACTAAAAAAAAAATAGAAAAACAAATCAGAGAAATAAATAAAAAGAATGAGATAGAATCAGGAATGGGAGATGCTTGCCTCGTTATTATTAAATTTGTATGCCACCTGACTCCTAAATGACTCTGGACCACTCATCACAATCAAAACAAAGAAATTATAATATAACCAAGAAAAGGAAAAACAAAGATTTATTTTTAAAAGATAGACTGAATGGAATGAAGTGAAAGTCTGGGTTGAAGATTGGACTGCTTAGGACTGCTTACAAAAGGAATTTGGTTTGAAGGTCATGTTTCATTTCTGCATGTTTTTTTCTGGCTTTGGCTGTCCCTCGCAACCACTGATCTAGTGTGGGAACCCTCCGTGTCAATGGGGGAGGTTGGGAACCTGTTTTAGGCTTCCTTATTTTTCTTATAGGGAAATGGGACTGGAGAATTACATAGATAGATTTTGCACTGTTTCAGCATAACAGCTAGAGGTTTTCCAATAATAGCTGCCTGGGTTCCCAATATAAACTATAGGGGAAGTTTATTCATTCATTTATTTATTCAGTTTCTATAGTGTCCCATCTCAGTCAATGACTCCACGTGGTGCAGTTGCTTTGTATGTCATCCCCAATTCTACTGTTGCTGTTGAATATCTCTAAAGCAGATGTAATCTACTGACTTTAGCAGCTGTGCATGATTGGATATGTGATTACTAGAATAGGGAAAGCTCTTTGTGAGACAATTAGGGATGGGAGGAAATGGGGAGAAAGACAGAGATAATTGGGTCTTAGGTACTGACCCAGAAAAAAAGATTGGTTACCGAGTTTGGAATTAGGGTTTGTCCTTTTCCCCAACTGATTCATTTAAAGTCTACACACAACTTCATAATTACACTCTCGGCACTCTTGATCATGATCTGGCTGGCCTCAAACGTATCTTAACTTTGTCCTGAGCCACAAAAGGACATCTGATTATTATCTCCCTGTTCAGCTTCTTTTGTGAATTTTGATTTAACACTCATATCAGGATAAAAACGTCATGACTGTTCAATTCCATTTTTTATACTTTTTCCCCTTTCTTGTAGAAATTGACTTTTATTGAGGCTTTAATTGCACTGTACAATGCTCCCCCCCTCCCTGGCTTGACATGATGAAAAGAAAGAAGTATTCTAAGTAGCAGGCTGTTCAGAACTGCCGAGATAGGATTTAGATAGCCACTCACAGCAATGTTTCCAATTTTCTACATATATTTCAGGAATTCCAAAAAGGAAGAGCATCATAATAAAGTTTACTTACTCGATTGTGTTTTTGTCCACTTTTCCTGTTGTGTTAATGCCATAGAACTGCTGCATGGCAGCTATAGCAGATTTCATTGTCTCTGCAGTGCGCAACACTGACATTCTGGAATCAGCGGATGGAAGATAGCCGTATTTTTGTAACCACACCTACAACAACAAGCAAAATGTGTATTAGGCAGGATTTATGGTCCAGGATTTCCTAATCATTCATCTTCAAGTTCAAACACTGAGAGAACCATTTCAACTTTGATTAAATCCTATTACAATGAAGGAAAACTAAAAGTGCATTTAGGTGCTTCTTTTCCAATAATTTAACTGGGGTACATGTGCTTCAATAATATACAACTTATTCTCAACCTACAACAGTTTGTTTAGTGAGTTACAACAGCACCGAAAAAAGTGACTTATAACCATTTTTCACACTTATGACCGTTGTAGTATCCCCATGGTCATATGATTTTTGTCATTGCATATGCTAACTTAGTAACATGATTGTTAAGTGAATCTGGCTTCCCCATTGACTTTGCTTGTAATAAAGTTGCAAAAGGTGATCACATGACCTGGAGTCACTGCAACCATCATAAATATGAGTCAGTTGCCAAGTGTCTGAATTTTGATCATGTGATGCTGCATAGGGAAGCTGCAATGGGCATAAGTATGAAAAACGATCATAAGTCACTTTTATCAATTCCGTTATAATTTTGAATGGGCACTAAATGAACCATTATAAGTCAAGGGCTACCTGTATTACCATTCAGCATCTCAGGCAGCTAGTGTTGTGTCCTGAGCCTGCAAAGGCAGGCTCGGGACATTGCAATGGTCCCGAGCCTGCTTTCGCGCACATGCGTGAGGTGCGGAGCGCACCTAATTGTTGCCATTCTGCTTGGGGAACGTTATTAAGGGAAGCAGAGAGGCCTGCGAGCCTCAGAGCTGTAACGGAGCAGAAGAGACTACAATAAAGATTTCTTGGGACTACGAGATGTTCTGTGCTCATTTGCCATTAAGCCGAGGACTCAACAGCTAGTACCCTTGCCATTCACCATTAACGTGTTGGCCAGCTGAACTCTTCTCTCCCCCATTTCTGACTGCTGCAATTATCTTCTCCAAATACAGTAACCTGTGAATTCCCTGGTTCTGAAGCACTTTGTAGGTAAAGTATGGCTGCTGCTGACATTGTCTTTTAAAAATGCCCCTGACAAAAGTTCTCTAGAAAACTAAAAGAGAGCTACTATTATGGTTGGAGCACAGAAAGCCATTGGTCCTGCCTCCAGGCCTGCAAACAGAGTCTTAGAAGAAAAGCTTTAGTATGAAAAAATGTGCTTGCTCAGTGAGTCATTTGCTCATTTTAATCTTTTGTTCAAGAATTTGCACAGAATTTGCAAATTACAGAATTGTTATACAAAGTAAGATACAAAATGCAGCTAAGAACTATCTTCATGTATTTCCTATTCTTTTAAATAAAAAGTAAAAATATTTTTATCCAAATATCCACAGCGAATTGAGCCTGTTTTACTAGAGAAAGACATTAACCTAGTTATTATGCTACAAAAGAGGCACAATTCCCTTCATGGCCTTTCAGGTAAACATTTTTAAAGGTGAAAAAGAAGGACCAGTGAATTGGTAGCAGGAAAGCACATTTGACTAAGCTGCTATTGAATATTCAGGAGAAGTGCTACCGTTTTTTCTTTCTTGTGAGCCTGCAACTCAGATTCCAAACCTTGAAGACCTTCTTCAATCTTAATTTCATGTGGATGGATTCATTAGTCAGGGATTTATTTTGAATAGTCTACGCTCCATGGAAATTAATGAGCCCCAGATGAACTTATTTGGAGTTATCTGTTACTTTGGCAGGCAGGTCTTGAGCAGGAAGCTAACAGAGACCGTTAGCAATTTTATAAGATTCCTATCTGTAGTTTCAATTGGCAGGATTCCTGTAGTTCAGTCTAGATCAGGGGTGTCAAACTGCGGGCCTGCAGGCCAGATGTGTCATGTCGAAACCACCCCAACCCTATTGCCAGCAATGGAGAAAAAGTTGCAATATGTCACGACACGTCACGTAACATTGCAAATTTGTCACCCCTGGTCTAGATCATTCCCAATAATCATTGTCATGAATCTCCATTATTGTCTCAGTTGTTTTCAACTTCAGGTAGACTTTCAACTACTCCAGTTGTTACTTTGCTATAACCATTGTGTTTTATATCTACCTCTTCAGAGCTAGGAAAGCTCTGGCTATCTTTACAAACCAGTCAAATTTGGATATCACATTCAAGGCATGGCATGTGTAAGTAAAGTTTATTCTCAAAGCAAATAATGAGTCACATCAAACAAGCAGATGATTCCAAATTGTGTTCTGAAATATTCAATTACAAATTTCCATGGAAACACCTTCTAACTATTGTGTTCGAAATTCTTTTATGGATTCTGTCTCCATGTCTCCCTTTCTTATGCCTTTCTTATCCAAATTGTGAAGTAGTGGTTCCCCAATTCAGAACAACCCAGGGCTGAGATCATTCTTGGTTTGGGCAAAATGGAGCACTGTACTTAATTGAAGATTTAACTGAAGAAAATGGATGTATGTACAAGCACAAGACGCATTTATAGTTTAATTCAATGTAATTTCCCAATAATGGCAACGGCATTGGTTCAGTAATTTTAAATGCTATCCAAATCAGCATTCAATCAAGATTTATTGCAAAGTTTCAAAAACAATGTCCCATTAATATGTCATTAGGCTACAGGTTGAATGAGATTCAATGGCTGGAACCTGACATTACTAATATAATAATTGTATATTATTCCCTAATCTGCTTTTCAGACTTCAACAACATTGACCAATTCTTCAATAATCTTGCAAGGAATTCTTATGGTCAGAATACAAGTCCTGAAAACTGCACCCTTACTAAAATTTCTTGACCATAGAATAGCTATGCAGGACCACTTTACATAAATAAAATAAAATTGTTTTTATATACATATATATATATACACAGGGCTTTTTTTCTCAGAGAATGCCCAGAACGGAGTTCCGGCACCTTTTTTGGATGGAACCTTGTAGGGTAGGCAAGGTGGGTTGTATGACGTGTGTGAGTTCCGGCACCTTTTTTTTTTTTTTTTTAGAAAAAAAGCACTGCATACACACACACACACACACACACACACACATACACACATATATATACACACACACATATATACATACATACATACACATAAACTATGTTATATATTTTATATGCAAGCCAAGACATTCAGTGCGGCCACACCTGGACTAGAGTATCTATTTAAGAATACATATACATATGTACCTTTAAGAGACACAGATGAGACTAATAAGCTAATGTTTCAGGTTATATCTATCTATATCAGTACTATCAGTATCCAGAAGAAGAGCCTCCTCTACCCCATAGCACTCTTTGGAACATCTTATCCAGTGTAAGATCTGTCTCCACCCTCCTATCTTTCCATAAGAGTCTGGGTTGATTGACATATTTGGAATGTATATATTTGTTTGAGTGCACATGAAATGTAATATTGAAACAGTTTCTATCTTTTTCACAATGCTGCATGAAGAATGGAAAAATAAAACCTATCTACTCTCTAAATCTGCTGCTTGGTACAAGCTCTATTTTGCCCCTAGCCAGAACATTTCCAGCTGTGCACTCTCAGCCAGTACTGTGTTTTAAGAGATATCTAAAATTCAAATGAACACCATCAAGAAAACAAAACAAACTCTTAAGTGATTTTAAACAAATAATAACTATCTCATAAATTAACGGCTCACTTGCATATAGATTTAAATGCTTCATTTTCTGTTTTTCATCCTATAAGGCAATGTTTCCCAACCTTTCACACCCAGAATTCTACAGCCAACATGGTCATTGATGAGAATTCTGGAAATGGAAGTCAACACATCTGGAAATGGCTAAGGTTGGGAAACTTTGCTTTAAGTCAGGGGTGTCAAACTGCCGGCCCGCGGGCCAGATGCATCATGCCAAAACTGTGCCCACTCCATTGCCAGCAATGGAGAAAAAGTCATGATACATCACAACATGCCACATGACATTGTGAGTTTGACACCCCTGCTTTAAGTTATCTAGAAGGAACTAAAAGATGTGTGCCATTGCTTTAAATGCATGTTTAAATCTGTTGGACATTGCATCATCCATAAATTCATACAAAGCATCTCTTAGTTTAGATCATTGTGGTAAATTAAATAGCCATCAATAGGAATGGATACTTTAATCTTCCATAATTCTTTGGGCTCAGATTCTTTGGGTACTCTTGGAAATGGATGATAGTGTTGTTGCTGGCTACTCCAACAAACCATACACAAAAGCTGATTCTAAGTTTGGATGTAATTTCTTTTAATTTTGTGCTTTGAAAACACCAAGTTTATAACTTAATATATGCAAAAGGCAAGTTATTTCATTTTATACTTGAATGAGATTTTATGCATCTCCCATTTGCTAAAATCAAGACTTTTTTGTCACCATGTGTAATCCATTAAAAAAATTCTTGAATATAATATTGAGACCCTTATCTTTCATTTACAATAGTGAAATGGAATATTTATATTGCTATCAGCTAACAGAACTGATATATAAATTCTAATGCCATTTCCAAGTGCAAAAATGTATACATAATTCAGCAACATAATTAATGACACAATCTAATATGAGAATATAGTTAACAAAAAAAAACTCTATGTGGAATATTCACCAGTCAAAATGTCTGCATTACAGTGTCAGTTCCTGTTGTCCTGTGCCTGTCCCACTTTTTTCTCCCTGTCCTAGCACTGCCTTAAAATGCAATCTAATCCTGAGCAATTTTTTTCCCTAGTGGGTTCCTAAAAATGTGTTAACTGCACATTATCAAGTTCAGCAGTGTCCTTAATTAATCAGTTCATTGTGCTGCCTGAAATTGACAAGGTCCTATTCAGTTTCACTATAAAGGTTTTTTTGCTTGCCTCCTAAGCAGCTCCTGGCTCCAGCCATCAGTCCACTAGGCAAACAACTGATGCTGGTACATTTATTTCAATGTGTATTGCTCATTGTATATCTTCTTACTCTCTTGTAATCCCTATCTCTCCAATGAATATAAATGCATCAGTTCTCTCCTTGCTAATTATTCCATTTCTGGGAGAG